TACAAACCAGTAGAGCTACAATCTCATCAGAGACTTCTGGTTTAGAAAATGAATAGTCCGTTTGTCATAACCAGCCAAATCTTGGCAATAGGATGGGTGGATTAGGATATCTTTTACTAGAATGAGCAAGGTAACCATCACAACCCGTCTCTTCTGTCTCAGACCTGTCGTTTTCTTAAATGTGAATTAAGTATGGGCGCGTTCTCTTTATCATAACTGATATGTTTAAGTCGAAAGTTAATGATATTTGCAGAATTTAATAATTATTTTACTGTGACGATATTCAACTATTTTTCTGACTGTAACTTGACGATCTTTTATAACAGTTATAACAAATTGCTCAAGTAAAGATACATCTCTCTCCAAGCATACTTTCAATGGGCACCAGAACAAACATCATTTTTAAACATCTCCCTTCCTTCACTAAAACAATCAATCCACTTAATGATTGAACTTCTTGCATGTCTTTTGTCTTCTTAAACCCTGTATAAATTATTATATGCCACTGCAAAGGAATTTCCAGGATATACGTTAAACTTTACAGACGTTCTTTGCTCGAGTAAGACTGAGTCGCCCATTTTTCGTTACAAGTCACCTACATATTGATGTCATTTTCACACTGTGGCGTTATAAATATGGATCAAAACATTAAATAACATCTGCTATTTATAGAATATGAATATGACTATTTGTGTACCAAATTTCATTCTGATCTGAATTGTGGTTTTGTAAAGAGCAAGAGCCACGAACCATCAAAAATGGCCCTGTGTCAAAAATTAACGGGTTTTTGTCAATTGATAGTGAAGACCTTTAGCTTTGCTTTGCCGTTTTTCTTTTTTCGATATCGATTATAGTTTTTGAAAAAGAGAGTTTGAAGTATGGTGGTGTTTTAAAAGAAAAATGCTAGTAGAACGTCATTTTCTGTAACGTAACGTCGTAGGGCGGAAAAATTTCCTTGATCGATTTTGCATGTATGAATATGTGACTTTGAATTAAAACTAGTATTAATAATATAATAAACATCATAATTAATTTAAGACGATTAAAAGCATTTGGAACTTGATTTAACTTGCCGTCTTTATGGTAACCTCGTGTTTAACTGATTGAATTATATAGATACATGAAGTAAAAACTAGAGGTACTGTGAGCACTGAGCTCACAAAATGATACCCCGCCTATCATATATTTATAATGGCAAAGTCCATGTTTTGCTATGGGAAACCCGAAATATGTGTCTGATCAAAAGTGAAATAGGAGGTGCACAATGTAAAAAGATTCTGTGAAAGTATCATTAAATCTTTAATTTATTCAGGCGTATAAGAGGAGTTGCGGATAAGAGATGGGTACCCTAAATATTATTTAAAGAATGGCAGTGTCTATGTTTTGCTATTGGAAACCTGAAATATGTGTCCGATCAAAAAGTGAAATAGGAGGTGCACAATGGCACTATCTACAAAGATTCTGCGAAAGTATCATTAAATTTTATTGAGTGGTATAGGAGGAGTTGCGGATAAGAGATGTGTACCCCAAAGCGTAATGGACGGACGCACAAACGGACGGAAAGGACACCCCCATCACTATATACCCCAACTTTTTAAGCGGGAGTATAATAATCTGTGTGACTGTCTTGGAATATTTTCATTCTACCTGGTCCCTATGATAATATTAAAAAAAGGAACATTCTATTTATATCCATTCAACACATTTTTGAGCGATGCTTCGCTCCTAGTGAAGTATTGTTTATAGATCATCATAAACAAGTATTGTGTATAGATCATCATAAACAATATACGACATGCTTCAAATGCCGATAGTCTGACCAACTAAGTTTTCCGGATTTTTCCCTACAGGCCAGCAGATATTAAGCTGATCTTTGGCATGTGCGTCCAGGCACGTAGTATCGTTTTTTAAAGTTGGGAAGTGGGCAGTCGGGAAAAAAAATAATTGACAACATACCTGAAATGATCTTGAAACGAATGTTTCTGAACTGAAGAGCTAATTCTATAACTACAGTGTAGGTAAAAGTTTAATTGCAAAAAGTTTTGTTTAAATTGAAAGCGACTTTCAATGCAAAATTCTTAGATCCTGATATTGCGAGTATTTTAACGTATAAAAGATCGAAATTATTTGGACAAGAGGAAGCAGGAAAAAGTTGGAAGGACTTGTTTCTAATCCATTTATTCATTTGTAACAATAATTTGAACGTTGTTTTCGATACAGAAACAGGGAAAATTTTAGATTAATTGGAAAGGGATTTCGCAATTTATCGGAATGGTTTAATTAGTAAACAGAACTCATCAAAACATTCTAGCCCTAAATGTAAGTTTCTTTGGAGTAATATGGAAAACAGTAGAGTACACTTCAAAAAATATTCTTTAGAAAAATAAATTTGTTAAAAAATCACTCGTCACTGTCCATTATTATATATTTAACAGTATTTGCTGGAACCCCCCACTCCCCATTTTTTTGCAAAATGTTCGAATTTTTTTCTCCAAATACCTTAATATCTGCAGGGATTTTGTAAAGGTAGAGTCTGCGAAAATTCTATGATTATTTTCCATGTAAATGTATCAAAAGATTAAGCATGAGGAATTTTTCGTTATTATCACACGTAACCATTGTGTAAAATCCACACTTTCGATTTCATTTGCACATTATGGTTTTTATGGTTTATAAAAAGAGTAGAGCGACACTGATATTGCTGATATGTGGGTCACTATCATAATTGAAATACATGTACAGGTGTTCATTTATCCTTGTTTTATTGTCTCACAATCGGCACAAGATTGATTTTAATCAACAAAAGCTTGCTTAAAATATTTTACTCGGAGAAGCAATAAGAGTTGTCCGTACATATTTTTTTCAATTTTCTTTATGATTTTTTTTTTCGTGAAAAGAGGAGCTGCCAAACCAGTCCCCACCCCCTTCTCACTGAGGAAAAAATAAGAGGAGTAGGAAAGTCTTTAACAATTTTCAATTTCTAGATTGATTTCTATTCATTAACAATAAAGAAAGTTAAATTCAAGACAACCTAAGAGAATAAAATAAAAATAACTACATTAGATGAAAATTTTGTTGCCATTAGTTTGTAACACCCCCCCCCCTCTTTTTTTCAATCTCAACTGGAAGTCTTGGATCTACCATTCTACATATCATGATACTAATAGTTTAAACTGAGGGAGGAGGTACATGTACAAGTGTACTAACCAGAATAAGCTGACAATAGATTTAAAAAAAAAGAGTAAAAATTATTATCCCAAAAAAAAAAAATCTACTTCGTTGGGTTTAAAAAAATCTAGCTATAAACAACTTACGGCCATACGCTTTAAAGAACATATTCCCGTTTTATTGATTTGTTTTTTAAAACACATTCTAAGATCTCGATCTCTCTCTCCATGTGTTTTCACATCGCTGAATTCTTAGATAAAACCGTATACTAATAAAGTTGCAATGAAGAGATGATGACGGATAAAAACTTTGGGTAAATTATATGTATTGTACTTATTTATTTAATTTATGTTTTGTCTAAATAGATCTATAATCACTACCCTTTCACTGACCGACGATCTGAAGCATAACTATACTAATAATTAAATTGTGTTAGTTACAATGAAATATTTGGAGCACAGTACAAAAAATGCATAAACATTTTATACTGATGTCTAAGATATACGACATGCATTTAATGCAATTTTACTCACTGGGGGTATATTTGAATTATGTTTCACAAAGGATGACAAGATAGGGTATATGTTTTATGTACATATGCATCAATAGCCTCACTTCGATTTTAATAAATACAGACATATTAAAAATATACCGATATATTCTTTTGTTTTTGATCACGGGCGCGGGATCGTCATGTGCAAGTGTTTTAACGAAACCCGATATCGGTGCTCACACAACTGTATACTATAACTATACATTAGTTTGTATCAGCATGTATAAGCCATCGATATAACTGAATTTTGTAAATTCGTTGAGATGATTCTTCTGTATGTATATAAAAAAGGTGCAGAAATTAGATGATTATCTTAATGCGTATTTTTTTCATTCCTTTTTTAATTTTCACTTTGGACAGCAACCCAGATCATTATTATTTCGCTTGTTTTAAAAGGTATAGCGTGATATCTTTGCTACATTCTCTATTAATTTGTTTACAATTTAAGTCATGCCTGATAACACTATTAACAACAGTATTTTGAATTATTTCAGGGAGGGGAGGGGGGGGGGTAGTAAAGAAAGACACCGTGGCGGGAATTTCTGATAACTTATAATTTGATGGTATCATCCAGTTGGGTTTACATGTAATTAAATCATATACATGTAAATACATGTAGGGGCACTATCTTAGAGCGTTAAAAGCTTTTCAGCAACATCCCAAATAATTTACAGCCTTTATGACGTCACAACTGACGTATTACTAGTAACGTCATACATAATGACCTAGTCATAGTAAAAACCACAAAGTTTTTCCAGACTTTTATTTCAGAAAATGTATGTAGTTGACTATTTTTCACATTTAGCGTTTTAAATGAACAATTTACTGATTTTCTAGCATATTTTGTGAAATTTATATTTTTTATTATTACATGAATTGAATGTAAACGATTGATCTACAAATTAAGGATTATTTGATCCATCAAAATTTAAATATAAAATCAAATTTCATATTGGCCACAGCCACGAACAACAACGATATTAAACATAAAGATTTGTATCGGTAATATCTATATCTATGGGAAGTATAAAAGTTGTTCTTGACTGTGGCCACATCTAACTTTGGGAAAATCTGTCGAAAAAACGGCATTTTTTAACGTTTTTATGAAACCGTCGCATTTTCCAACCGTCGCACGTGTTTAATGGCGCATTATATAACGATATAAGTTATGTATGGAAAAGAAGAATGTTGTCCTCTAATATTTAACGTATAGTACTCTTCTTGAACCGAAACTTTATTTTTGTGAAAAACACAGGGCCAAATATGATGGTTCGTGGCTTTAGCTCTTTAGAGACAGTTTGCGAACAAAACGTTTTGATCACCCCTCGTAAGTATCTATATCTCCTTTTATTTTTGACATCCTCCTCCTATCGAGAAAAAAACTTAGTTTAAGTATGTGATGAGATTTCATTTGTAATCTTGATGAATTCAGCCCTGATCTAATTAAGAGGGTGTATACAGACTTGGTGCGATATGTTTTTAACTGATAGATGTGATAAGAACAAAACAAACAGTGACAAAAAATGTTTCATCTTATATAAACAAAAAACTTGCCTTTAAACATGGTTTAAACTTCTATATTGAGCTATTTAAACATATTTACATGTATATTTAACTGAACTTAACTAGCAAGCATTTATGCATTAAAAGAAAATTAATATATGGTACAGTTCAAGGGAAATGTTTACTTTTTAAAATATTATGATGGTTTTTCTTTTGGGTTTTTGTTTTTTTAACTAAAAGGCTACTTGCCCTGATGGATAATGCAAAAAATCAAAATCATGATTAATGGTTTCTTATAAAAAATATAACTTCAGTCTCAGTTCTAATTCTTACGGTCTAAATTTGTGTGACCTACGACCTATAAAGATCATGTGAGTAAAAATAAATCAGATTCCGTTTTCAGCACCAGATATAGTGAGTCATGAACACAATTTTCAGGAGGAGCACAATCCTCCATTTGTTCCTCTGCCTTTCTTCCATCCCAGATCTAATCTTCTGTTCTAGGATGTTCCAGGCTCTACTTCTGGGTCTTTCTGAATGACAACACTTAAATCACAAGCTGTAAATGACTAGGCACTATCAGAGTAGTCATCATGACCTCTTTCCAAACACGTCGTAAGGGTCTGGGTCATCTTCCAGCCCCAAGGTCACCTCCTCACTGTCATCTTCATCCTCTTCACTGTCTTCTTCACTTTCCTGGTACCCCTCCCCTACAGCCAAACCTTTTGGTCTCTTCATGTCTTTTGGAAATTTCTTAACCTTCCCTGTCAACATTAACACAGTCACCTATATGCATGTAACTATCTGTCCTCAAAACATATGTCAGCGATAAAATTCATGAAATACACAAACAATCTTAACAAGTTTTTCAAATTTATTTTGATACGTACGCTTCTTCAGAACAAATGGATTGTTGTCATCAGAGATGTCCTCCTCGGATGAACTGCAGGCAAACTTATCATAGTCCAAGCTGATGTTGGGGAACTGTAAATTACATTATACAGATTCTTTGTTGTATTTTAATCTTAACTAATTAATAAGTATGTATGTTTTTCTGTGTGATACACAATCACTTAATTATCACCATACATTATAGACATAATCCCATTCTTAACATGACAAGTAAAGTAAACAAATTAATCTACAGGTGTACAGCATACCTTTGTCTTGAGTTTCAGTAGGCGTGGCCAGCTCCCCGGTTCATCCTTTCTCAGTTTAACAAGGACTTCTGAACGTTTGACTGACACATGACAGGCATCCGGCTGAATTCTACCAAACAGCTCATACTTTGCTTCATACAAGGTATCATCCACAACCGTTCTGTATAAAACACAAAAACAATCAAGAAATGGTTTAGCTCCCTTTTTGGTAATTTTGAAAAGGATTGAGGCTAAATAAAATTGAAATTAATACAGTTCTTGGGCCCTCTCACATTATTTTTTTCTTTTCAAAATTAAAAGCTGGTAATGCAGAGACCAAGCCAGGGAAAAAAATTCCACCTCCAAATTTTTTTTTTTTTTTTTTTTTTTTTGTAAATTTCCACTTAATTTTCATTTCAGGAAGCCATTTTGTATAAGCGTGGACTTCAACATGGATATTTTGTCCACAAAAAATGAAAATGTATTTGGTAATTTTGTGAGATGTTGAATACATCTAAAGAAAGACTTCAGTACATTTATGAAGGAAGAATTTTCATTGTTACTTTTATAGAAAATTCTGGAATAAAAAAAAAAGCCTCCCACTTATAATCTATCACAGATAAAAAGGGCAAATTTTTTTTTTTAGGAAAATTGGCCTGAGAACCATAATTTCAATTTTAGTTAGCCTAATTACTTTAAATTTAGAACATCTGTAATGATAGTGAAAATTTTGGACTATATACTGGTCAGGGGCAACCACAATACATGTACTAATTTTGATCTCTTTCTAGAAAAGGATTCTAAACAGTAAGCAATATTTTTTTTGATATCCAGAGTGATTTCATTTCAGACCTCGTGACCTCAATATAGAAAAAGGTCATCTACCTTTTTAGGGTGTACCAGTATACCAAGTCTTATCTCTGTAAAACATAAGGGTTCCCATGATATTGAGTGGACAACACTTGGTCTACCAACTGACCGACATGCAAACCAATATGCCCCCTTTCTCAAAGGGGGGGGGGGATAAAATTTTTAGGAAAATCCTACATTTTCAATACCATACATGTACTTTCTATCTGCAGTTCTCAGTCTGCTAGATGATATTGCTTTATTTCATTCTTACCTGAAGAAGAAGCTGTTTTGATTGACTTTAACTGGAGCATCACCTGCTCGGGCCACTCGTACTGCCAAGATCACATTCCGCTTGTTCTGGGCCCAAGTTATGATAGGTACCAGTCTAAAAAGGATCGACAAATAATATGCTCATATCCAAATACTTTTATACTGTTTGGTACTCAATTCAGAAAATATTTTAGGTTATTTAGAAGGGTTGAAATTAATAAATTTAATTTCATTAATATGTCAATATACATGTACACGATATTTCAATTTAATAATTAATTTATATATATAAGTTATATATAATATATTGAATTTAATATACAAACATATATCTTAATCTATATCCACAATATTTCAGAGACAAAGTTTGTTTACTTTGATGAAAAAATCATTGGTAAAGACCAGAGTCACTTAAATACTAAGATAAAGGGTATTTTTGTTTCTCAACCAGTCTGAAATGGATGGGTTTACTTCTTATCCATAAACAGACTTGTCTACTAACTTACTAAGTCTTACATTTGTCAAGTATGTACTGTTGTACATTAATGGGTTTACTATATTCACTTATTTTGTCGATGGTAAAAAAAAACCTGTGCAGATGGATGGTTAAATGTTCTTACTTTGTCCGGAGTAACCAGACTGGTGCAGAAAAATGGGTCTACTGCCTTTATTGATGTTTATCAAGAGTAACTACACCAGTATGGATGCTTTTACGTACACTTGTGAGGTAACCAGACTGGGGTGTATGCCTTTACCTCTGTTTGTCAAGGATAATCAGAGCAGTGCAGATGGATGGGTCTACTGGCTTGACTTGCATTTGTTGAGAGTGACCAGATCGCTGTAGATGCCTTTACTTATGTTTGTCAAGGGTCACCAGACCTCTACAGATGGATGGGTCTACTGCCTTTACTTACATTTGTGGGGGTATGCAGACCCGGATGGATGGATGGGTCAACTGCCTTGTCTTACGTTTGTCGGGGGTATCCAGACCAGAATGGATGGATGGGTCTACTGCCTTTACTTATGTTTGTCGGAGGTATCTGGACCGGGGTGGATGGATGGGTCTACTGCCTTTACTTACGTTTGTTGGGTGTATCCGGACCCAGGTGGATGGTGGATGGATGGGTCTACTGCCTTTACTTATGTTTGTTGGGGGTATCCAGACTGGGGTGGATGGATGTGTCAACTGCCTTTACTTGCGTTTGTCGGGGGTATCCAGACCAGGATGGATGGATGGGTCCACTGCCTTTACTTATGTTTGTCGGAGGTATCCGGACCAGGGTGGATGGATGGGTCTACTGCCTTTTCTTACGTTTGTCGGGAGTATCCAGACCTGGGTGGAGGGATGGGTTAACTGCCTTTACTTACGTTTGTCGGGGGTACCCGGACTGGCTTGGATTGATAGGTCTGCTGCCTTTACTTACGTTTGTCGGGGGTACCCGGACCGGGATGGATGGATGGGTTTACTGTTGATAGAGCTGGATGTTGGGACCTGGATTACAAGGCTGTTGAGGAACCTCTCACATTTCCCATAAGTTTCTGGGCAGAGCTTCTGTTGTTTGATAGCTCTAGTAACAAATAGTATTATTCACAGTGAAATATTAATACTCACACTTTAGTTATACCAAGTAGAAAAGAAAAGTATTCAGTGTCTTTATCTGCAGCTTTGTGCTTTCAAAAGATGGTTTAAAAGAAAAGTTTGAAATAGGATGCTAAATCCTCACTTTTTAAGAATGACCACAACTCCTTGCTCCAGGAGAAAAGTTTTCTTTTTTCGGTTTTCCTTGCATAGATTCTCACAGTAGGTCACTCCACAGGATATACACTGAAAGGAAATCAACACATACAATCCAATAATAAACAGGAAAGACAAAGTAACTATACATACAATATAAAGCTATCTAATTCATAAAATCCTCATGTGAAGAAACACACTATATATCTAAATGATAAAATGTCTTTCTTTCTTTCTTTCTTTCTTTCTTTAATACTGGAATTAACGTTTTAGCTATTGCAGGAAAAATACATTACCCATGTCGGTAATTTTTACTGCAATATATACAGGCCTTTCAAAATCTGCCAGTACCTGGTATTTTCAAACAGCTCAATTCATGATTGTCGTACCACCCAAAATATTCATTGGAGAAAAATTCAAAAACATATTGAATTAAAATTGCTTCGACAAGGTACCTCCAACTTTTGTTAAAGTACCATCTGTTTTTAATCTTTTTAAAAGTTCTGTATATATAGCTGTAATCAGTAATTCCTGTCCTAACAAAGAAAAACATCGTATTGTTTATATTTATGTCTGTATTAATAATCATATGAAGTAGGTTTAAGTACATTTAATTTTTCATTATTATTGAAGTGTAGGTCATTTTAAGTTTCATTGATTTTAGGAATGACTCTAATTCTTGGCCAAATTATTTGAGTATAACCTGGTTTGGGTCAGTTTATGCTTTATAATCCGCGAAGCGGATTATAAAACAGCGTAAACTGACCCAAACCAGGTTATACTCGAATAATTTGGCCAAGAATTAGAGTCATTCCTTATAATTTAATTTTAAAATCATTAAATAACTATGGGTGTAAAATTTCGTTGCTTTTTATTAGTTCAAATTTGCTGCTCAATAATACAACCGTAGTAACGGAAGTGATGGGAAGCGAGGGGAGGTAAAACTGATACATAGGCCTAGCAGCCATGTTGTTTGTTTACATGTGGTAAGATCGAATTATTGTTTGAAGTTAAAGGTACATTTATTAAATCTGGAATTTTCCATGAATCCCGAGGACTGGAAATGAGAGGATTGTATGGAAACAGATGATTCAGCTGGTTGTCAGGGGGGTGTGTCCCCATACCAAACCAGGTTATACAGAAATAATTTGTGTTCCTTTTTGGATATTAAGGCCAAAAAAAATAATAGTCTTGTTTCCTGCTACCCGACCTACCCTATTTTTTTGCACCCGACCCTAAAGGTTTTTTTTTTTAAGTTTAGGAAGAAAAAAAATCGGGAATTTCCAGAATTTCATCTTTCTATCACTGTAATTGGTTTTCGTGTAAACACAAAACAAGCATTTCATGAAATTCTTGTTTTAAATGTGAACTTTCATAAAATACCACTTGAGTTTTGCATAAAAAGACATGAAATTTAATTTTAAAAGACAATATTGACCTGCAACATGTTTTATTTTATCTTGTATTAGTTCATATCCAAAAAATGTGGTCAGAAAAAAATAAAATAAAAATATAAAATAATTTTCCTACCTACCTACCCTATTTTTTTCGGGCTGGTAGCAGGAATCAAGACTATTATTTTTTTTGGCCTAACCAATCAGAGGCTAGAATACAAACAAAATTAAATTATTGAATAGTAAATGCAAATGAAATCTATACAGTTGGCTTGAAAATGGGTTCTATATAACCAGCATAAACTGACTGATGAAAGAAGTGATTTTGATAAGAAAGATAGGATAAGATCTTCAGTGGATGTAATATACAAATATATTAACTACTAAACATGCATGATAAAATATACCACAGGTTTCTTATATACACATAACTGTTTGGCAAAAACAGTTTTGTTCATTGCTGTAATCTTTATTGATTTTAATTTTCTTTTCAAATCAAGTTTATTTCTACAATAAACCTTTTTTTCTTTAGAACAAATCTTTTATTTTTTAATAACAAATATATTTAATAATTCTTGTTTTGTGATTTTTTTTAAATTGTAAAAAATTTTTCTGGAGAAAATTAAGTTTTGTGACCTGCAATAATGATTTGTCTCTTTTATCATTTTATTTTGAATAATAATGCTAAAATTCAATTTGCATGAAATTTATACGTATTACTCAATACCCCTTTCCCTTAGTAATTATCAAATGTCAGATCATCAATAACAGTCAATTATGTCAACAAATTAAAACTGGATAAAATTAACCTAAAATGCTAACACAGAGTTGTAAATTAATATTTGACAGTTGTAAGTGGCCCTTTGAATACTAACAACCCCCCATTGCCATTAACAGGGTTCTGTGGACAAAAGTGACAGAACAATACACAGTTAGCCTCCCCTTGACCCACAACAATGGCAGATGATCAGCCAATTGCTGTAGTCTCAGCTGTTGCCTGGCCCTTTGTCTACCTGTTGATCCCTGACTGGGGTATTACAGGTGAACTAACATCTTACCTGTAAATCCCCTATAAATGACCCCTATTCTAGGAAACTCATGGTGGTGATAATTACACCAATTATCCTCAGGGGTTAAATGGCCTCATACAAAGATTATCACAAATCTGTTTATTTTGAGTGCTTTACAAAACCTTAACAAAAAAATCTGATTGCCCCTTTGTTGCTCCTTAGCAGGGGTTCTTAAGGTGAATGAATCCAAATTTTAATCACATCCTTCTATCCGTGATCTTAAGTCCCCTGTGTAAACGCACTGCTTGGGATTAAGGTGAGCCTGGGTGAGTGAGGAGAAGTTGAGAGCTACTTAAATAGGAGCAGATTTCAAGATGGCTCACTCTTAGCCCTGACCACCAAGGAGCAACCTAACCAGTCAGCTGATTAAGATCATGGGTAAAATGGACATGCTTCTGACAGCCACCAGATTAAAGTCCTTGTTGTGTTCTTATGATGAGGCTAGTCGGAGAATTCAACTACTAGGTAGGGCAGACATTGCAATAAGGAGATTTAATAATTTACTTATGAACACTTTAAGAGTACTAACAGAAAATTATCATTCCCACTTTATAAAAAAAATTAAAAAAAAAAAAAACCCACAGATTTGTAAGCAATATAAATGTGAAATTCAGTTCCTTTCATTATCCTTTTCTTTTCAATTAAAAACAGGGGACTTATGTACTTCACTTAAAAAAAAAGTTCAACAAATTGAACTTTTATCAATTTTCATAGCTGACAAGACTCTAAATTTTAACTATACATGTATTCAACCATTAACAAATTAACTGCTATTTGAGGAGAAAACTTGAAGATTAAAACTTCATTCCTTTTTATGTATACTGTGATTATTACTGTCATTACACCATTAATTTATTTTACCCCAGAACAAGACTCATGCATACTATTAATACTTTATCTATATATACTTATAGAATTCCTATTTTGAGTTATTGTATCTCGATCGTTTTAATTTTAGAAAACACCTTAAAACGAGAAAATCAGAAGATGTTCAATGCTACACTGATGGGACAAAATGAATTCCGTCATCAATATCTGCTCCGTCTGTCAATAGTAGAGGGCTATAAGATTATGTTCCTCCAGTATCACAACAGAACCTGGAACAAGATTCAGGAGTTATCTAACCTGATCCTCCAGAGCTCAGAAGAACCAGAGATCACCAATCTGTTACCAGAGTCCCCGACCAGAGGACCAGTTAACGACAAAATGGCTCAACCGGAGATTGAAAACTTTTGTCTGATGCACAGAAGTGCTTGATAAACCATGTGAAATATGAGAGTTTGTTAAAAAAAATGATCCTAGCATCTTAAGAACACCATGCTCTCAAGAACTGTGCTAATCTTTATTGTGCTTTTCAGGAAACTTAAATGAGACAATGAAT